TCATCTGCAAATAAATGGTTAAAAAAGTATGAAGGGTAAACAAGGCTTTGCATCAATTAGTTTTAGTTTTTCCCCCCAATTGTTTCGAATGATGGAACTTTTAGACCGAAGAGGCAGAGCTACATGTTTACACCAGAAGTCCCTGATATTAGTATTGACAAAGGGGAACAATAATTTACTACGCAGGGCTACAAGTCCCAGAGAAACCTGAAGGAATAAAACAATTATGGAGGTGCAAAAAAACAGCCATTAAGAAGCTCAATCAGGGGTGTCAAACTCATTTTGGTCGGGAGCCAGATTAAAAATATAAGGAAAAGGTAAAGATGCACTTTAATAATCCCCGTAGGGCAATTCAATCCTCTGCATTTGACCCATCCTGATGACACGAAGACGTCAGGAGCAGTGGTCGCCGTAGTAACAGAGCCTGGGAACCCATCTCCAGATGTTGATGCTCGGCTTGGTCAGGACCAGAGCTGGAGGATTTAACCTAGTGTGCATGTTTTTAGTGGTAGGGTAAACCGGAGCGCCCGGAGGAAACCTATGCAGACATGGGGAGAACAAACTCCACTCAGAAAGACCCTGTACCGACCGGGATTCGAACCCAGGACCTTCTTGCTGCGAGGCGAGAGTACTATCCACTCAAAAGGAGGAATTAGGAAGATTTAGGAAAGAACCGCCCTCTTCACTTTTTAAACAAAACTCTCTGGTCTTATTGGACGAGCACGTATCACCAGGATGATTGACAGTTGAGAGGACCGATAGTCTTGATGATCCACCTGGAAGAAGAAAATCCTCTTGTATACACCTATCAATTCTAAAAACATTACATTTAAGAACAGATTCAATGATTTGTAATAACATTTATCATTTAAAATCATTTCAGGGGCCACTAAAATGAGTCTTGTCCCAGGGCCTGAGTTTGACATGTCTGAGCTAAATAAAGCATGTCTCTGCCCTTTTATGGTTCATATGAATTGAGTTGTGCACAGAAACCTTTTAGCACATGCTGGATGCCATTAGTTTGAATAAATTGAGAGGATCCTCAAAATAGTGGGATTATTCATTTTCTCCTCAGTATTTCCCCGTCGCCTCCGTCATTAAACCCATCCACCATCCGTCTGCACAGATCGTTCTTGAGCACAATCCCCTCCATTTCTCGTCAAATCTTTCATTACTGTCAGTGGCCATAAATATCCCACATCAAATGTAATCGCAGGTGAAATTAAAGCAGCAGTTCTCGGACACACATCGTTCTTCATCCAATCTATCTGAGGCTGAGGTGTGGCTGAAGTGAGACGAACCCCCGGAGGAGAAAGTACATACAGTAAGTGATTAAGCTGTAAAATTCATTCATGGACGCTGCAGTTAGCTTAGGTCCAGATGACGGCCGTTATAATGCGGCTTTCTTTTTTTTATTAATGATGTCAAATATCCATCCATCTTCTTCCCCTTAATCCATTTCTGGGTCTGGGTGGTGGCCAGTCCACAGAGCACCAGCCCCTCACTGATCCTCCTGCAGGTGCTGAGTCCACAGGAGCTGAGATCTTTCAGCGGGGGCTTCAGGCAAAGTGGGGTTAAGTGTCTTGCCCAAGGACGTAACAACAGCAGACATCAGTGGGAGTTGTGAAGGTGAGCTCAAACCCACAACCTTCAGGCTGAAAGGCCTGAAGGTCAATGCTCTACCAACTGAGCCACTGTCGCCTGATGTCAAATAAGAACGGCTTATTAAACGACCGCGAGGTCTGTACAGTGGTCTTTTTGTACAGACCGAGCAAGTTAGGTTAATACGTTTTTTATATGACTATTTTTAATTTGTGCAAATATTGATCGGTTTCAATTAAAAACACATGCAACCAAACTGTCAAACTGTGACATGAATAACTGATCAGATGATTGAGGCGCCCGCTGTGTCTTTACCAATGCTTTTTACATATTTGTGAAGTATGTTCATGTCCAACTTGGTTTTTCTTATTGTGTTTTTACCTTTCTGGTCTGTAACGAAGTTGTCAATCTCTTCTTGACTGTTGGAGTTGTGTTTTCGTCGTTATTTGCTGTTATTACTTCTTCTGGCTCTTCTCGTCCTGATAATAGAATTCACTGAGAATGCTCCCAGTCGTCGCCCATTGTTTATTTTTTACCGAGGAAACATATCAAATCTGATGCGCGCTGCGGACCGATTGTCACGGTAACGGTCCAAGATGGGAAAATATCAGACCGCAAATCAGCCAATCAGAGCGCGCGTACGATCGAAGTCATATAGTAGTAAACAATAGCAACCATGGAAGACCGGACTCTCACTCTCGCCTTCACAACAATCCTCCTCCTCCTTCTGATATCAGTTATTCAGGTTCTTGCAACAGTGCCTCACTTCATCTTCACTCAGCTTTCAACTCGTGCCGTAACCCTCCTCGCCACCATCTCCTGCTCTGTGTTACCAAAGCATGGGTTCATTCATAGAGAAAAAACAGCTTTATTTCATACAGAATTTACCATGAGTCACTTATGGATTATGTTACATCTTGAAAATGACTGAGAAAACATCCGACTATTTCCACATTGTTGTCTGAGAACGCTCCTAAAACGTCATATACTATTCTAGGCCGAGGGTCTGTCGCAGGAAAAACATTTAAGAAAACATTGGACACTATATTCCTTTTTATTATATGACTTTGATCGTACGTGTGCTCTGATTGGTTGATTTGCGGTCTGATATTTTCCCATCTCGGACCGTTACCATGACAATTGGTCCGAACAGCACGTATCACATTTGATATCTTTCCTCGGACCTTTACCATGACAATCTGTCCGCAGCGCTTATCACACAAAACCAAGTCGGACATGAACATACTTCACAAATATCTCAAAAGCATTGGTAAAGACACAGACCAGAGTCATATAATAAAATATGTATTAACCTCGCTTGCTCGGTCTGTGCAGAGAAATATCAGACCTTGGTCTTTTTGCACAGGGCTCGGTCTGATATTTCTCTGTACAGACCTCGCGCTCGGTTAATAAGCCGTTAATATTCTGGCAATGATTTTTAGATGGAAAAAAACAGCTGATGTTATGATGTGGCTGTTAAATGTGAAAATCCATTATTACTCTACATTTTTGACCTGACTTGAGGGTTTTTGGGAGAGAGAGACTGGAGGTGACTCTTTCTCTTTGTTTCTCTGGGGACCAAAGACAATCATTTCAGTTTTGTCTGGGTTTTTTTTCTGTTACTATTTACAGTTTTAAAAATCAGATGTCTGACTCTGGATCCAATCAAACTATTAAGGATGTCCATAAATAAACTTCTCACAGAGTCAGAATATGAATGTTCCGGTCTGCTTTGACTGACGGAGACGCAGTATATCTGATGTTTGTCATGCTGTGCCAGACTCTACTCTATCAAGTATCGATGGCGGCGGTGAAAAGGCCTTTGAAGGCGCGGGATATAAAGAAACGCATTTCCAAGCTCGTCCTCTCAGCATCTGCAGCAGCGAGACGTTCAAAGGCAGGAGACGTGTGTTTTCCATATTGTGAGGAAAATAAACACAAATGCCAAAGATACTATCAGCGCGTTCTTTCGTTGTCAGAAGCAGTATTTTTTTGTCATTTTATTCGTGGCGACAGAACGGCATAATGCAAAAAACTTACTGCTTGGATTGTGTTATGAAAATTGCGTATAACGGGTATGAAAAGTGTATGTACGCAGACGAGTATGTGAAAAGAGCCTCAGTTATATCTCAAAAGTGTCTTCTTTTCACTGTTCGTTCACTGACTGTGATGGATTTGATCTCAAAATCTCTCACACTGAAAAAAACGACAAAATAAAAGGCAATAATTTGTAACTTAAATACTTGTTTGAGAACTTTCTGACTTTCTTAAAACCAAGGGAGACATTTCTTGTTTCTTTTTTAAAACAAGATAACTTTTCTTATCCCACCGGAAAAATGTTTTTAAAGGCTCAGTCAAAATGTACCCAAATTTAAGCAATTTCTGACTTATTTTTCATCACTTTTCGCAATGTAGCCAACCCCATTAAAGATTAAAGTAATAATAATAATAATAATAATGCATTGGTTTTGTTGAGTTTGTGCTCACTATAAAAATAATAATAATTATTATTATTGTTATGAATGTTTACTCTGTATTTATGTTGAGAAAAGTGTTTATATTTATGTTTAGGATAACTCTGTTTTCTTTTTCCGTTTACTGATGGGTGTGGTTAATAAATTGTCCAACGCCGCAGCTGAGTTGGTTGCGCGTAACGGCATGAATGGAATGCAGTGTGTCCTGAGTTATTTTTCCTCCATATCTTTCGGTTACGTCGTCTAACTCTTTATTTGGGTTCACGACGCGATACTGCTTCTGGATTACCTCTGCCAACAGGTTTTATACAGCACTTTACATAGCCACAGCTGCCCTGGGGCACACTGACAGAAGCGAGGCAACCAGTCTGTGCCATCGGCCCCTCCCACCGCCACCAACCATTCACACACACACCAGACTCATTCTAGGCAATGGGGGTGAAGTGTCTTGCCTAAGGACACAACAGCAGTTTGGCACTTTACAGCTGCAGCCGCCCCACTGTGGCATCAGCTGTTCCCAAGTGTCTTGCCCAAGGACACAACGACATCAGTGAGAGTGGGTGGTGAAAGTCGGCCTTCTGGCTCAAAGGCCAATGCTCTACCAACTGAACTACTGTCGCCCCCAAGTAGAATCCAAAATAGATAAAGATTGTTGCCTTTGCATTGCTTTCAACTAATATCTTGCTTTCTTCATTCCATATTCGCCGATGGAGTTGCTAAGTGACATAATTTCTCATCTCCTGGTAAAGATCCCATTCATCAAACTTTGTATTCACTTTCATTCAGATATTGACGTTATACTAATCTTGGAAACACTCTCCCGCACCTTGTTTAGCTGCAGCCGTGATGCATGACTTGGCCTTTTTCCCAAAGCCAGCCCGGCAGCAAACTTTGGGAGCAATGTCACCTTCTGCTACTTGGGACGGGGGCGAGGGTCCGCAACAACCCGGTGTGGAGCAGTGGGCGCGGGGGTGACCTTAGAACCCAGGCAGATGGTGAGGTCCGGGACCCTCGTGAGCGCCAAATGGCCTCTAGGACACAGGGACAAAGGTGAGGTTGTTCCATCAAAGCGCCGCGTGACATGTCGAGCCACGCCCATCTGCTCCTCTGCTTTGTCTAATGATTGTACACAATAGGGGTTACAGGCGGCGAGACTAACAACACTAATATATACACACACACACGCATACCCACACACGCACACACACACTTACACCTATTCATACACTTATCTCTCAAAGCAACACGCTGAAGACATTATGTTTTTAATCCAAGTCTGTCTGCGTTGACTATATGTGCAGCACGGTGGCTGAGTGGTTAGCACCTCGCTTCTCAGCAAGAAGGTCCTGGGTTCAAATCCAGGTCGGAACAGGGTCTTTCTGGAGTATGCATGTTCTCCCTGTGTCTGCTCCGGTTTCCCCTTCCATTAAAAACATGTACAATAGTTCTGGCATGTGCCTCCTGTACTGAAACGCTCCCATCTCTGTGTGGAGTGAGAGACTAACGCCCAAAAATAAAAATTGTAAAGCGCTTTGTGACTCTGGTCTGAGAAAGGAGGTATATAAATAAAAATTACTTACTTACTAATATGACAAAACAGAAAAAAATCAGATTTGATATTTCTCTTTAAAGTCATATTTAGCCATTTTTTGAATTTAGCACACTAGTTCAGGCGTATTATTTTAAGTCAAAATGTGAAAAATTAAGCCAAATCTAAGAAATGTTTGACTTGTTTTTTTGTATGTGTGACCTTATTTAAAACCTTCTGGTCTGCATTTACAAACCATAGTAATAAAAAGTACTTCAGTAACACCAGACCGGGGCAAACGTCAACCATAGTAAAAATAGTTTGATCCATTTGTTCCAAACGGGCTGGATTTTCACACCTCAATCAAATAAAAATGTAGTATGAGTACAGGCGAGCGCTCTGTTTTTTCCGCAAGTTACTCTCAAAACTCCTTTGTAATATGTTAATGGAAGGAGCCGGAGCCCCTGGAGGAAACCCCACAGAATAGGCCCGGCCCATGGAGACTATACCCACGCATTGCAAAATGAAGTACAGCGCCTTGAAGTCAACTTTCAGTCTGCTCTACACGCCGCTCTGTACTGTACATGAGCTTCACTGCTGTATGTGGAATGTTTCTTCTCTACTGCAGCAGAACATGGCCCAAAAATGCCAACGTTGTCAAACTGTCAAATGTAATCATGTCTTGGTGCTGCATGAACACTGACAACAGGGAGCATGCATTCATACAAGCTCCTTTAAGCACAAAGGGGACAAACATGGATCCTATTGTCTCTGCAATCTGGCGACAAAACATGTGTGGGAACCATAGATGTGCCTGTTTTCTTCTGTGTTTACAATATCCTCTGTTTTTGTTCAAGTTTCTCAAAAGCAAAAAAATCACTCAAATTCTTGTTTTTTTGTCCAGCGACCTTGACAAAAATATACTGCTTCTTTTTGTATCATAAGTGTACTGTGTGTGTAAGGGGCAAGGCAAGTATATTTGTATAGCACAATTCATACACAAGGCAATTCAAAGTGCTGAACAAAACAAGAAAGCATTAAAATCATACATAATCACAGAACATTAAACAGAAAGATAAAGATATAAAATCCCTCAGTTGTAGCACAGCTAAACAGAACTGTCTTTAACCTGGTTTTAAACATTGTCAGAGAGGAGGCCTGTCTCACATCTTCAGGAAGATTGTTCCAGATTTTAGCAGCGTGAATCTGAAAAGCAGCCTCCCCATGTTTAGTTCTGACTCTGGGCACTAACAGGAGTCCAGTCCCTGTGCTCCTCAGAGTCCGGGCTGGTTCATATGGGACTAACATGTCACTAATATATTTTGGTGTGAGGCCATGGAGAGACTTGTAACAAGCAGAGCTGTTTTAAAGTCTATTCTCTGAGCCACAGGAAGCCAGTGCAGAGACCTGAGAACTGGACTAATGTGGTCGTACTTCCTGGTTCTAGTCAGGACTAATGTGGTCGTACTTCCTGGTTCTAGTCAGGACTAATGTGGTCGTACTTCCTGGTTCTAGTCAGGACTAATGTGGTCGTACTTCCTGGTTCTAGTCAGGACTCGAGCCGCTGCATTTTGAATGTACTGCAGCTGTTTTACAGCCTGTTTGGACAGACCTGTGAGCAGGCCATTGCAGTAGTCCAACCTACTGGAGACAAATGCATGGATAAGAATCTCCAGGTCTGCTTTAGACACTATGTTTTTGATCCTGGCAATGTTTTTTAGGTGGTAAAAAGCTGCTCATGTTACTGATGTAGTGTGTTTTCTGTTGGGGACCGTTACTTACTTGTTGCCATGGGGACGTTATTGATTTGCTTGTACAGCTACAAACATGGTTCATCATTCAATAACATACAAATAATGAACGATGCATTATTCTCTTACAGATGTTGGCTTTGGTCAAAAATTTGTTTTTCCTAGATTCCTGTCGGCTCACCTCTCCACATGTATAACCCATAATGTTCACTAACTTTGCACACACTTTTCTCCAAAGTAGGTAAATCAACAACATTTATATGGACCTCAGCAAAAAGCAACCCATAAATACTAAATAATAAATACATGCATCTTCTTCCCCTTAATACATTTCTGAAATAAAACCAAATACATTCAATTAAATTAAACAATAAATAAAATAATAATACAATAATACATATTTATTAAGGTGGCATATAGTACACCTTTAACTATTCCAATTAAAGCTTGGGTTCCAGACTTTCAAACCACAAACAATGGAAAAAACTAATCAAGATAAACAAGATTAAACGACATTTTTTCTTGTCAATGTCAGCGTTATAGCACATTTACAACAACAACACCAGCTAAGGCCTCCACCTGCACAAAAGAAAGAAGAAAAACACAATTCAATCTTTTTTAAATGAAATGCGTTAATCATGCAACAAAAAGGTTAGGTCGCCAGCTTCAACAGGAGGCTTGAGAAATTCAGATTTTGAGGCGTATTTGATCATTGGAGTCATTTTTCCTCCAACACATTCATTCAGTTTCTTCTGAATGTCCAGAGGCAAAGCTGACAGAGCCGGGGGAAGGAAAATTCCCGGCATCAAACGCGTCCAATGTGGATTTTGTCCCAGCAGAAAGTCCTGAGGACCTTTCTTTCTGCGCGTGCATCAGCAGATCTGGCAACTCAGCAGAGAGACGTCTGCGAACGCTCGAGGGCCGACCTGCCACAAACACTTTCACACCAAAAACATCTGCGTTTCATTCCTCACTCTTGCTCAAACGGACGTCCAAATTTGTCACTGAATTCAAATTAAATGGTTCACCCATGGATGCATGTCTTCATAACTGTTTCTACCAAATCCCGGTTGGAACAGGGCCTTTCTGAGTGGAGTTTGCATGTTCTCCCCGTGTCTGCGTAGGTTTCCTCCAGGTGCTCCGGTTTCCCCTACCACTAAAAACATGCACAATAGGTCTGAATGTAAATGAGAGAGTGAATGATGGTGTTGGAGCTGATGGTCCAGTGTGTTCTGGACTCGCTTCTGTCATCACCGTGTGTGGAAGGATTGGAACAATATCTGACTCTGAACATTGTAAAGAGCTTTGGGTCTGTACCTTGGTCTGTAACATGTGCTATATAAATAAACAATACTTACTTAGTTACATTACAACATTCACAAGAGCCTTTAAGTTGGCAGAGATGATAACCTGTAAAAAAGTCTGACTTCTTATCGCTAATGTTGCTGTAGCTCCTGAGTCAATCCCCCTGCAACAAACAATCTTTTATTCGTTTTTTTGAGGGGGACATTGACTGGGACTGGACTCCTGTTAGTGCCCAGAGTGAGAACTAAACATGGAGAGGTTGCATTTCAGATTCATGCTGCTAGAATCTGGAACAGTCTACCTGAAAATGTGAGACGAGGTTATTCTTTGACAATGTTGAAATGCAGGTTAAAAAGCTGTGAGTTAGCTTAGGGTGTATTCAGACCTGCACATTTGCTCCACTTTAAACGGACCAGGATTCGTTTGGAACTCTGATCCGAAGCTTTTATGCAGGTCTGAATACACACAAACAAATCCTGGTCCGGACCAAAGAACCGAACCGAGACCCACTTTTTGAGGTGGTCTCGGTCCGCTTCCAAACGAATTCTGGTCCAAGTCGAATCAGGTCTGAATACATCCGGTGTCGATCCGACACAACTCCAAGATACGTGCGCATTTTTTGGGCTTAACAAGCCACAGACAGAAACTGAGGAATTAGCCACGCAGCGGCTAACTAAGCTGCTAACTATGCTGCTAACTATGCTGCTAACTATGCTGCTAACTATGCTGCTAACTATGCTGCTAACACTACACAGCAACACTGAGCTGTGTGCAGACCTGGAGCAACAGGAGACTCTGTGCAACAGGCTTATGGAGTTAGAACTGTTCACAGTATACATTGATGTTAATGGCAGCATCTTCAAACCATTTGCATTATTAAAAGCCTGACACTGTTTGACTCACGTCTCAAAGAGCAATATTCCGCATCGTGTAGTGAATTGTGTTCTTTGGTACCTGATCCTCAGCGTCTGTTTGTCCCGTGGTTATTATAGATCCATGGTTTATCCACAATGCTGAACAGGGCCGTTATTATCATAGATCCATGTGTGGGACAGGGTTATTATCATAGATCCATGTGTGGGACAGGGTTATTATCATAGATCCATGTGTGGGACAGAGTTATTATCATAGATCCATGTGTGGGACAGGGTTATTATCATAGATCCATGTGTGGGACAGAGTTATTATCATAGATCCATGTGTGGGACAGAGTTATTATCATAGATCCATGTGTGGGACAGAGTTATTATCATAGATCCATGTGTGGGACAGAGTTATTATCATAGATCCATGTGTGGGACAGAGTTATTATCATAGATCCATGTGTGGGACAGAGTTATTATCATAGATCCATGTGTGGGACAGAGTTATTATCATAGATCCATGTGTGGGACAGAGTTATTATCATAGATCCATGTGTGGGACAGAGTTATTATCATAGATCCATGTGTGGGACAGAGTTATTATCATAGATCCATGTGTGGGACAGGGTTATTATCATAGATCCATGTGTGG